GATCTTATGACGAAACAGATTATTGGTAAAGGATATTTATCTGGTGATCTCTATATCCTTGATGAATGGGATCCACAGTCTATTGCATGCTCCAGTATCGTGTCTCCTTTTGAAGCACATTGTCGATTGGAGCTCTCTGCCTTTGTTGAAGAAGCTCTGTCCTCAGTTTTAGAATATTTCTTCATTGGATTGTGAGTCATGTCGGTTTGCAAAACATCATCGCATCTCGTTAGGTCCAAGGGTTAATAAGCGAGCTGAGTCAGCTTTTGAGTTAGTTCATTCTGATGTTTTGGGACCATGTCCTGTTGTTTCTAAAACTGGGCATAAGTATTTTGTCACTTTTGTAGATGATTTTACCCGGATGACTTGGATTTACTTTATGAAGAGTTGCTCTGAAGTGTTTACTCACTTTTCTGCCTTCTATGCTGAAGTCAAAACTCAATTCAATGCTTCAGTGCGTATTCTAAGGAGTGATAACGCTAAAGAATACATGTCAGAGTTATTTCAGTCCTACATGAGACAACATGGTGTACTACATCAGTCTTCATGTGTTGATATACCCTCTCAAAATGGAGTTGCTGAGAGGAAGAATAGGAATTTACTTGAGACAGCTCGGGCACTTTTGTTCCAAATGAAGGTTCCTAAAGAGTTCTGGGCTGATGTTGTCTCCACGACTTGCTTTTTGATTAATCACATGCCATCTGCTGTTCTTTGTGGCAATATGCCTTACAATGTTCTTTTTCCAAACAAGTCATTATTTCCCGTGGAACCTAAGGTGTTTGGAAGCACATGTTATGTTCGAGATGTTCGACCATCTGTTACCAAGCTGGATCCCATGGCGTTGAAGTGTGTTTTTCTTGATTATTCTCGCCTTCAGAAGGGGTATCGGTGTTATTCTATTGAACTTGGCAAATATCTGGTGTCAACTGATGTACTGTTTTCAGAGACTATACCATTCTTTTATGCACCTCCCATCTCTGTAAGACAGGGGGAGGAAGATGAGTGGCTAGTATATCAGGTTACCCGTACTTTGACAGAACAATCAGATGATGTTTCTCCACCTCCTAGCTCTTCTATCGAGCACCAATCGACTATTCTGCCTTCAGCACCTGCTCCAACTGTATTAGCAAGACCACCAGTTGTTCAAGTTTACTTGCGGAGGCGAGAAACAAATGATGTAGGTCCTGCATCAGTTCCTTCGTCATCTGATCCTCTTCCGCCTGATCCTCCAGAAGACCTTGACCTTCCCATTGCTTTACGCAAAGGTATGCGTATTTGCAAATCCACATATTCTATTGCTAATTTTGTTTCCTACGATCACTTATCCCGTGCGTCTAGATCTTTGATTGCGTCTCTAGACTCCATTTCTATACCCAAAACAGTGAAAAAGGCTTTGAATCATCCTGGATGGTCTAAAACCATGCTTGAGGAAATACATGCCTTAGAGGAAAACCATACTTGAGATTTAGTGAATTTACCTAGTGGAAAGAAAGTAGTGGGATGCAAATGGGTCTTCACGGTCAAAGTTAATCCAGATGGTTGAGACTTAAGCCCAGACATGTGGCCAAAAGGTATGCTCAGACTTATGGAGTAGATTATTATGACACTTTCTCTCCGGTTGCCAAACTTACTTCTGTCCGTTTGTTCATTTCTCTAGCAGCTTCTGAGAATTGGCCTTTGCATAAATTGGACATTTAGAATGCCTTTCTTCATGGTGATCTTCATGAAGAGGTGTATATGGAGCAACTACCTGGTTTTGTTACTCAAGGGGAGTACGGGAAGGTCTGTCATTTGAAGAAGTCCTTGTATGGCTTGAAGCAGAGTCCCCAGACTTGATTTGGAAAATTTAGTGAGGTAGTTCAAGAATTAGGCTGAAAAAGAGCAAATGTGATCATTCAGTCTTTTACAGGCAATCAACAGCTGGATCTACTCTCCTAATTGTATATGTTGATGACATTGTTATTACAGGAACTGATTATGCAGGAATCTCTTCTCTCAAGTCTTTCTTGCATACTAAGTTTCACACGAAAGACTTGGGACAACTGAAATATTTCTTGGGAATAGAAGTAAATAGATGCAAGAAGGGGATTTTTCTATCTCAGAGAAAGTATATTCTTGACTTACTGGCAGAAACTGGTAAGTTGGCTGCCAAGCCTTGTAGTACTCCAGTTGTTCCTAATTTGCATCTTATGAAAGATGATGGCGATCCATTTAATGATCCAGGTAGATACAGGAGGTTAGTTGGGAGATTAAACTATCTCACCGTGACTCGTCCATATATTGCTTTTGCTGTAAGTGTTGTTAGCCAGTTTATGTCTGCTCCTACGGTCAAACATTGGGCAGCACTGGAACAGATTCTATGTTACTTAAAAGAAGCCCCTGGACTTGGCATATTATACAGCAATCGTGGGCATTCTCACACTGAGTGTTTTGCAGATGCGGATTGAGCTGGATCCAAAATTGATAAAAGGTCTACTACCGGCTATTGTGTCTTTGTGGGTGGAAACCTGGTGTTAACCCCCTGACAAAGGTCCTCGGCAGGTGTGGGTTGTGACAAGGATTTTCATGATGGCCTTGGCACACAACCTGAAAAATGGGGCAACATCATGAAGGGCTGCTCGGCATGACGGACAATGCGGAGTTCGACAAACGCACCTTGACCGGAAGCAAGGCGCATTTTACTTAGATGTGCGGGTTGGCAAAACAATGGCAAGGCAAAGCCATGTCAAGCAGGGGCAAAGACATGGCAAGGCAAGGCAAGGCGGGACAAGCAAAGGCAAATGATACGGACAGATTTGATCAAGTCGGGGGCGACTTGACATGGGCGGGCAGCTTTGACAATGAACGTGTGCGGCTAAGTCAGTGGATGGCGAGCTGTGGCAATGACATTGGCGCGGAGCAGTGTCAAAGGCAAGGTTGGGCGCAATGCCAGCCTTGGCACAAAGCAGCTGGGCGAAAATCAGACCAAGCTGTGCACAAGCAGCAGTTGGAAAACATGTGCCAAACACATGGGAAGCAGTTGGCAGTTGCAACCTCTTCCAAGACATGCTGATCATGGCCTAAAAGTGTGCCCACGTTTTTGTACTTTGTCTTAACTTGTTGCCCATCAGTTGGGGGCTTGTCAACTGATTGTAGCCTTTAAATATTTGCCTAGGCTGTCCCAAAACGGGGCAGAAACTTAGTCTAAGGCATTGTGTTAGCCAAAATTCGTCTAAGTTATTTCCCTAAGGGTGGGAAAACTATTTTGGGGCAGGGAATTAGGGAATTCTTTGTCTTGGCCATAGGGTTGGCTATTGTGTTCTTGTATTCACTTATTAATACAAGTTGGGAAGAAATTCCTGTATATCGTGTGCCTTTATTTACAGATTTTTGCTGCCTATTTTCATTCAAAGTTCAAACGTCCCTAAAAATAAAACTAAGTGTTGGAAAGGCTGAAGTCAAGGCTGGGCTTGACTGCCGCACGGAGGTGAACCTCGGGCTGAGTTCGAGTGACACAAATCACCCCTGTGACAACTGGTATCAGAGCCAGGTTGGATCGGGGCGAAGACACAATGTTCATTGGTTGAATTTTGTGAAGAATGGCTGGTGGCAACGCAGAACTGAGGGAAAAGGTTCCTGCATTAGAGGCACTCGTCGGAACTGTTGATGGGGATCAATTTCTGACTATCTTAACTCGTCTCGCCTATCTTGAGGCCGAGATGAACA